GCGCTGGAGGTGCTGCTAGCGCTGGTGCTTCTGAGGGTGCTGGAGCTGGCGCTGTTGGAGCTGGAGGTGCTGCTGGCACTGGTGCTGCCGCTGGGGGTACTAGTGCTGTCCCTGCTGGTTCTGGAGGCGCTGAGCGGCCGAGGCCGTACTTCGTTCCGCTCCTCGAGCAGGTTCTTGGTTTCCCGCTTTCTAGTGGTCCTGCTACTCCCTTAGAGTGTCCACAGCCTGTCCAGTCGCAGTCACAGTTACAGCTCGCCTCCCCCCTGCCTACTCCTTCTCCCTACACTGGTCCTACAGGAGGTCTTACTGAGCGTCGTGAGCCTGCGTCTCGTCATGCGTCGCCTGTTCGTGCTGCTCGCACTAGTAGTCGTGTTCCGCGTCCGCGTCCTCCTGCGGTCCCAGGCACACACCAGATGGCACTGCGTCCTTCCACTGCTCCTCTGCGTGTCCCGTTGCCGTCTCCTCCAGAGTCCTCTCTTCCTGTCCTTGCTGACCCGGAGTCTGACTCTCATCGTTCTGCTAGTCCTCTTGTCACGCATCTTCTGGCTACTGTTGTCACTGACCCTTCCTTTGAGTCCACTGCTACGTCTGCCTTAGTTGCTGAGCTTGTCGACTTTGCTGCTCGCTGCCGTCTAGACTACGCTGCGAGTCTTATTGCTGAGTCTGAGTCTGTCTGTCCCCTGTCTGTCGGGGGTGAGTGTGCTCTTAGCACGGACGTCCTTGAGGACAGGCAGGAGGAGTTCCAGTGTTTTGCTGCTGCTTTGCCTCATCTCGTGTCCACGCTGATTGCCCCTGAGGGAGACCCGGATGCACCAGACATCCCGACTCCTCGATCGTACGTTGAGGCGATCGAGGGTCCCTACTCCTCACAGCGGCAGTCAGCCATGGACAAAGAGATGGCTTCCTGGAAGTCCACAGGCACCTACGTCGACGAGGTTCCCCCACCTGGGGCGAACATCGTCAGTGGCATGTGGATTTTCAGGGTGAAGCGGCCGCCGGGTTCTCCGCCTGTCTTCAAGGCGCGTTACGTTGCTCGAGGTTTCAGTCAGCGGCAGGGAGTTGACTACTTTCAGACCTTCTCTCCCACCCCGAAGATGACCACTCTTCGGGTGCTGCTGCACATAGCCGCTCAGCGCGACTACGAGCTTCACTCTCTTGACTTCACCACTGCTTTCATACATGGCAGCCTGCACGAGGAGATCTGGCTGCGCCGCCCACCTGGCTTCACAGGGTCGTTCCCTCCTGGTACCCATTGGAGTCTTCGACGGCCAGTCTACGGTCTCCGTCTGGCGCCACGTGAGTGGCACGACACACTGAGGACTACACTTGCGGCTCTTGGGTTTGCTCCTTCTACTGCCGACCCGTCGTTGTTTCCGCGCACCGACACCTCTTTGCCGCTGTTCTACATCCTCGTGTACGTCGACGACTTGGTCTTTGCCACTGCTGACACTGGTGGACTCGCCCACGTGAAGTCCGAGCTGCAGAAGAGACACACGTGCACAGACCTGGGTGAACTGCGCAGCTACCTTGGCTTGCAGATCACCCGGGACAGAGCACAGCACACCATTACCTTGACTCTGTCACACATGGTGCAACAGGTCCTTCAGCGCTTCGACTTCACGTACTCCTCGCCTCAGATCACTCCTCTGTCTACTCGCCATTCGCTCTCAGCTCTCCCTTCGGATGAGTCCGTAGAGCCGAGTGGCCCGTACCCAGAGCTTGTTGGCTGCCTCATGTACCTGATAACCTGCACACGACCTGACCTAGCATACCCTCTTAGCATCTTGGCACGCTATGTGGGAACTGGTAGACACCGATCAGAGCACATGGCTACAGCGAAGAGGGTGTTGCGCTACTTGTGCAGTACGTCGGGCATGGGGCTAGTGCTTGGAGGGCGGAGTTCAGTGGTCCTCACAGGTCACGCAGATGCTTCTTGGGCTGACGACCAGGCTACGCAGTGGTCGTCACAGGGTTACACCTTCAGCCTTGGTTCCGGCTCTGTCTCGTGGCAGTCTACCCGCTCGTCTTCTGTTCTCGGCTCCAGCTGTGAGGCCGAGATCTACGCAGGGGCCATGGCTGCACAGGAGCCACGCTGGCTCATCTACCTGCTGACTGACTTTGGAGAGCAGCCTCGTTCTCCTCGAGTTCTGTACGTAGACAACAAGGCCATGCTGGCCTTGTGTCGGGAGCATGGACTGGAGCACAGAACGAAGCACATTGCTCTTCGCTACATCCTTGCTCGTGAGCTGCAGCAGCGCGGTCAGCTGCGCCTTGCTTACGTGGCCTCTGAGGCCAACACTGCTGATATCTTTACCAAGGCACTTCCGCCTTGTGATCATCAGCGCTTTTGTACTTTGCTAGGTCTTGTGCCTACTTGGCCTCACTTGCTCACCTCTTGACTTTGCTTGTACTGTGATCTATATATACCTGCACTTGCATGCTTACCTTTGCTAGGTTGAGATCACTGCCTTGCTTGTTCTTCTTGATATTTAACTCTGCATGTGAACTGGCCTTGTGGCCTTGTGCTTGTGCTCAGATTATGTGGTGACGTTGTGATCCACCCTGGGCTTGCCTTGCTTCTCTTGACTGGTCTTGTGACCCCTTGTCCTCCCCCACTTTGCCTATGAGGGTGTGTCGAACTTATATGCTATAGTCTGTTTAGGCTGTAGTGGGGTAGTCAATATGGGGTACAACACTTTAGGGTTTCCTACTTGTACTCCTCATGCTGCTCAATGCAATCATTCATTCCTCAAATTCTCACACATGAACCCTTGTTTCAGGCTGCTTCTCCTGACCTTGCAAAACAATGCTCGGCTGTCTCAATGGCAGCCACAGACGCGGCCGCTGAAGGGCCTGGCGACAACGACGATGCTTATCGTCGTCGTCTAGTCGACATGGTGACCGGACTATATTTTCTTAGGGCGTCGTTAGAGAAGCCCTGTGCACCGCCAGCGCCACCGTCACAACCCAGCTTGAGTCACGCTCCAAATTCCACGTACTTCGATCATTTGGTCGATGCCGCCACTGAACCAGTCACAGCTACTCCAACGACGGAAGTACACGAGGCGTCCTACGAAACACCATCCCCCCTCGCGCAACTGACAAAGTTCCGATACCGCAGTCTACCATTCCATGAGAAACTGCTCCACCTGCCTCGGATGTTGAAGCTCCGGCGCGGAAGGACTCTCCCATGCAGTGTAGCTCCTAGCCCAATCCCGATAATGTTGAGTTGAAACACGAAGAAGCGCATCATCGTTACAAAGCTAAGTGGTCTACAGATTACCCCTGGCTGGTTCTGACTAAAACTTCTGCTGGTGCCCATGCTTTTTTAAGTGCCAAATATGTACAGAATTGGCTGGATTGGTAGGCAGATGTAAACTGCGAGGAGAAGGCGCTACCGACGTGCAGATGCAAGCAGGGCCCTAGGTATCAGCCTAATTACGCTGATCCAGCGTCAAATCAGGCTTCTCTTTCAACCCTAGGCTGATTTCAAAGTTTTTTTGTATGTGCCTTGGTTGATTTTTCAGCATTTTTATTTGTACTTTGTCCGTTTTTTTCAGCCTTTTTCCTTGAGCGTACGCTGAAAATTCTGAGTGATAGCGGGAGAGACTCAATGCTGAATTCGCACATGTGATGATTTTTTGCTCTCCTGCCTACTATACCCGCTCTTTCGCCCACTCTCCCTTCCCCTAGACAGCCCCGTTCCTTTCGCTTGTCCCTCCCCCCAGCCCATTTCTTCTATACGAAACCCCCCCCAGCCCACTTTTCCCACTCAAAAATCCCTCCCAACCCCCCAATTCCATTCGACTCTCCTCCAGCCCATCCCGTTTCTCCCCTCTCCTCAGCCTACGTGCCTCTCTCACCCCTTCCCCCAGCCCATCTGTTACACTGGCTGCCCTAGCCCATCTGTTTCTCTCGCCACTCCTATCCCAATCCATCCATGAAAATTGTTACAATTCAACTATGCAATTTGTACTAATGCTTAGATTCTAATCCATACACAATCAGCATTTTTTTCCTATACGAACCCTTGAATTTCAGCGTTTTTTTCCTACGTGACACTGATCGTCAGCGTTTTTTGTTGTACCAAGGTTGATGGATCAACGTGGTCCAAAACGATTCTAGGGGTCTAGACGCAAGCCTTTAAGAAACACGAAGGGACAATGAAGCATCGGTTAGCATTGGAGAGGCAGGACGGCCTGTTTCAGAAAGTGGCAGGACAATAGGGCATCGATCTTCACCCCAAAGCGGAAGGAGATGGTGCAGCTTTCGGTTCTCTTGGACTCGCTGTACTTCATGAGCAACTGCAACGAGCCCATGTACTCGTGGATTCGGGTTGTGTGCTACTTGGGGAAGAAGAAGGTACCTGGTTTTCCGGAGCAGGGGTAGAACACTTATTACAACACGTAAGTAAATTGCGTTTTACATGTTATAGCTGCACCATATGTCTGTCGCTTACTACCCTGTTTATTGTTTGTTACATGTACGGCTTCGGAAAACTCACTCAAGCAATCGCGGCGTGACTTCAAACCACGCAGCTGGAGCACCTCCTAACGAGCCCCTTCATTGGGATAACGCTGGATGAGAGCACCGACAGGCGTCGTGGCAAACACATCGTGTTCGCCACTTTTCTGCGCGACATTCGTATCGTCACGTAGTTTCTTGCTTCGCCCACTGTTGAGAAAGCTGACGCCGCAACTTTGATGGCATACCTGGGGATGGCCAAACGCCAAACGTCTGTAGCCAAGACATTTTCCTACACATTCACGTTTCTGCAGTCATTGCTTAGAGGAATTGCTGCATTCTTTTCGTCTCCTCACTCCTCCCGCACCTTCCTTCCTGTCTGCCCTCTTCCTCCTCTTTACCCTGTCCGCCTCCAACTCAACGTCTTCAACCCCCCTTTTGCCGGCCGGCTGTGGCATCAATCAATCAATGATGCGTTGGCATCAATCAATCACATCAATCATTGCGCCAACTGTCTCAACGACCATTCAGCTTACATGGTGCGGACGTCCGTGCAGCTGAGTGGGAGCAACACCGACAATTATCGTCTCACCTTCACCACCGCGGTACCGGCGGAGCAGGCCAACGGCATCACCATGTGCACCAACCTGGACCCCAGCATCAGCGGCGCCAAGATCACCGTCGTGTGGGATGACCCGAAGCTCGCGCCGGTTGGCAACGGCATGTGCAAGAGCCTGGCGCTCTATTCCGCCTGGGGCTGTACGTGGAAGCGAGGCCCCACGATCGCACGTCCTGCGAGGACGGGCCGTTCCTACCCCGTCACGAAGAGGTGTGTGAGTGTGATGCACGGCACATGTGTGATGCATGCCCTGTCAAGTGTGAATAGAGGAGCTGTCGTGATTCGTCCTCATCCTTTGTCTTCCCAATCCTTACCTATCCCTCTCTCAGGTCTGTCAAAGCAGCATATTCATCGCATTCAGTCAGTTGTGTTATCAGTATGTATTGGGTGCACGCATAAACTAACGTTAGCATCACTCTACTTAACATATGTCAAGTGCATACTACATACGATTTCCGAGCACGTTCTGACACAACCAACAACATGGGAGGTACAATAATAGAGAGCAAGGCACACACCCACTTCCACACTATTCTCATATTTGCCTCCTGATGCCTGAAATGTATTGCTTTTGACCACCTGTCTCTACATGCCTGCATATTTTGTCCCTCTGTGCTGCCCTCAACAGCCACGTGCCACAAGGATTGTGGAGCTGCTGAGTGCGTTGTGAAGGACGGCCAGCAGCAGTGCCAGTGCCCCAAGGGCCTCGTGTTCAACGCAGCCAAGAAGCTCTGCCGCGCTGCTCCTCCTCGTAGGTGCCTTGCTGCTTATTGCGTGCTTGCCCACATGTATGAATCAGCCGGCAGGTTCTCTTGTTCGTGAGACCAGGGCCTTGCTTCAACGGCCAGTGAACAAGCTGGGGAAGAGGGCAAGAGGTTGAGGGGGAAAGAGGGCAAGAGGGCAAGAGGGGCAGAGGGCAAGAGGGAGGGGGCAAGAGGATTACTTGGAGTGTCAATCCACTGGATTACATGGAGTGGTTGTGGGCGAGTGTGAGTTGGAGTGGTTGTGGGCGAGTGTGAGTTGGAGTGGTTGTGGGCGAGTGTGAGTTGGAGTGGTTGTTGGGCGAGTTTGAGTTGGAGTGGTTGTGGGCGAGTGTGAGTTGGAGTGGTTGTGGGCGAGTGCGAGTTGGAGTGGGCGAGTGTGAGTGGTTGTGGTTGGGGTGCTTTTGTGTCACTACCTTCCTCCCTCTCCTTTCAGCCCACTCACCATCATGCTCTTTCCCCTCTCCCCCGCCCCCCCCACCTCCCAATGACGCCAACCAAGTGCAAGCCTGCCTGCCCTGCCGATGCCCAGTTGCACGTAGGCCAGCAAGACAGAAATAACTTCTCGTGCATTTACGAGTGTGACGCCGGCTACAGGAAGAGGGAGCAGGCTCTGCACTGGCACGGTCTACCATCTGACGTTTGAGTCGACTCTGCACTGGCACGGTCTACCATCTGACGTTTGAGTCGACTCTGCACTGGCACGGTCTACCATCTGACGTTTGAGTCGACTCTGCACTGGCACGGTCTACCATCTGACGTTTGAGTCGACTCTGCACTGGCACGGTCTACCATCTGACGTTTGAGTCGACTCTGCACTGGCACAGTCTACCATCTGACGTTTGAGTCGACTCTGCACTGGCACGGTCTACCATCTGACGTTTGAGTCGACTCAAAAGTCAAAAGTCACCTGGAAGAGGGAGCAGGCTCTGCACTGGCACGGTCTACCATCTCGCATCTTATGCTGTGACCTGCCCTGCCCTCCACTCTCCCCCTCCCGTTGCAACTGTGTGAACCAATTGCGTCCCCTATGCAGGGGCCGGAGGACAAGTGAAGAATGTGCAACCCTAGTTGGATGGGTGGGGGGCAAGGAGGCGCTGGCCAGCACTGGCAGAGGGGCATCAGATGGCCAGGGGTTGATGGAGCAGAGGTGCGAGCAACTGCATGCGGTTGCTTGGAGGCCAGGAACCAGCTTTGGCTTACTGGTTTGGCTGGCTGATGTTGGAAACAATAAATCCTAAGTACGCTTCTGTCGTATCAAAATCCAAGGTACCAAGCGAAGCAGTCCCAATCGAAGCATCGAGTCAACCTCGGAGGTTAGGGTAACCGCCTGGAGGTTACGAGAAAGTCAAAGGTCGCTGACCTTTGACTCGACAATTACAGCGCGACAGTTAAGGACACACAACTGACTCGTTACAGAGCAGTTGCCCGAGTCGCACTATATCGAACCGCAACAGCAATACAGTTATCTATCTATTCTCTGTACTCTTATATAAATCCTTGTATTTGCTTGTTTAATTCAATCAACTTTGCTCTCACACACCAGTGCAAGGTCGGTTCAAATTCTTCACTAAACGCTTCCGCTATTACAACTACTTCACCTAGAGTTATCCCTTGCAAAGATCCTAAGGGGCTATCTCAGCCCAACAGCTGAGTCATGTAGTGTACATTAGGAATGAGACTACTACCATAAGAGCTCTACTTGTGTGCTGCGTGCCTTGGTTGGTTTGTACTCATGGTGGCAATCCAAGCTGCTGTATGTCCCGCTCTAACAATTCCGGGTGGCATATGCAGATGGGGTTTCACATATGTAAGAATGAGAAGAATGGACTAGTATGTTCATGCAAGGTGGCACAAGTACCGTAGTACCCCAGCCCGGTTCAGTGCAAACCTAGCTAGCTGATCAAATGTACACTTTGTAATACTGAATGTGGTTAGACATACCACCTACATGCTGTACCTGCCACTCATGGAGTCATGCTTATTCTCGTTGCTGCTGGTCTCGTTGCTGCACCTGCTGCTGTAGCTCGTGAATCTCCTGCCTTTGCATCACGGCTACTGCTGCTACTTGCTGCACGCACTGCTGTAGCACCTGCTGCCGTTGCTCCTGCTGCTGAAGCTGCTGCTGCTGCTGGAGCAGCAGTTGCTGCTGCTGCTGTATCTGTAGCATCAGCTGCTGCTGACTCGCCTCATGAGTCGGCAACAGCACCTGCTGCTGTGCTTGTGGCTCATGCGCTTGTGTCAACTGGTGTATACGCTGCTCCCACTTTTGCTGCTGCTGCTGGTGCTGCTGCTGCACCTGCTGCACATTTGATGACAGATATTGCAACAGCCAATTCCCCTCCTGAATTGGCATTGACGGTTGAAGCTGCACTGTTGACTGCAGTCGTTGAAGCACCAAAGCCATGGCAGCATCGGAAGCAGTGGCAGCCATCCCGGGTGGATGATGAGAGCCATGCTGCCTGCTTGGGGGCCCCATGCCCCCCATGGCTCTCACCACTCCTGGTGTCACAATCGTCTCCATGCCGCCACCAGCAGCAGCAGCAGCAGCAGCAGCAGCAGCAGCAGCAGCAGCAGCAGCAGCAGCAGCAGCAGCAGCAGCAGTGCCAGCAGCAGCAGCAGCAGCAGCAGTGCCACCAGCAGCAGCAGCAGCAGCAGCAGCAGCAGCAGCAGCAGTGCCACCAGCAGTAGCAGCAGCAGTGACAGCAGCAGCAGTGCCAGAAGCAGCAGCAGCAGCAGTGCCAGAAGCAGCAGCAGCAGTGGCAGTATGAGCAGTGGCAGCAGGAGCAGTGGCAGCAGGAGCAGTGGCAGCAGGAGTGGCCACTGCTGCCGCCACAAGTGCCGTCTCCACCACTGCTTCAGCCAGATTCTGGGAGAGAGAGAGTGGCACAGATGTACCTTCCCCAGGCGTGGCCTGCATGGCTCCTGCTGCCTCTGCCTGCACGAAGAACTCCAGCCCTGGATGCAACCTCCCCCGCCTGCTGCTTGCGCCCACAACCCCTCTTCCTGCCTGCTGCCCCCTGCCTGCTGTGATACCTGGGTGAACTCGGCTGCTCTCCCCTCCCTGTGTGCTCTCATCTCTGCTGCCCTCCTCAGACCCGTCACTCTCGCTCCCACTCTCACTCCCACTCTCACTCCCACTCGCACTGCTCTCACTGTCACTACTGCTATCGCCACCACTGCTTCTACCATCAACCCCTGCCTTTCTATCCCGCCTGCCATTCACTCCCTTGCGCACATCCCCCCATGTAACCCTCCTCTGCTCCCCATTGCGCTTCGATTTCCCCCTGTCTCGCTGCCTCTCCTCCTCTCCCTCCTCTCCCTCCTCACCCTCCTCTCCCTCCTCGCCCTCCTCACCCCCTCGCACCATCAGCATCTTCCATGCATTCTGAAAAGCTGATCCTTTTGCTGCCCGTTTCCCTGCCCGCCCATCCTTCGGAACCTTTCTACCTGCCCGATTCAATTGTTGCAACTTCCTTTTCCTCCCCTCCCTCCTTCCCGTTCCCTGACCCTCAACGCATGCAGATAGGGGAGGGTGAGAGGGGGGAGGGTGAGAGGAGGGAACGTGAGAGAGGGGAGGGTGCTGCTGGGAAGCATAGGGTTGGTGGAGACGACTCGGTTGGGGTGTGCCAAGCGGACGGGAGCTGGGCTGATAAGGGCTGGGTTGATAAGAGGTGGGTTGATAAGAGGTGGGTTGATAGGAGGTGGGCTGATAAGAGTTGGGCTGATAACAGGTGGGTTGATAAGCAGTGGGCTGATAAGAGGTGGGTTGATAAGAAGTGGGCTGATAAGGAGTGGGTTGATGAGAGGTGTGCTGATAAGAAGTAGGTTGATTAGAAGTGTGCCGATAAGAGGTGGGCCCATATGAGGTGGGTTTGTACGACGCGGGTGGATAGGAACCCGGGTGGCAGGGCTGTGCGGGAATGGGCTGAGAGCCCCCCTGTGCTGCAAGTAGCTGCCCGAGATGCTGGCTCTGCTGCAATGCCTGCAGATTAGAGGAGCGCAGGGGCAGAGAAGCAGGCACGGGGCCAGCAGCTGATGGCGTGGTGTGAGCGTGTGAGCGTGTGGGCATTGCTGCTGCAGTCTGTGTGGAGTGCACCTGCTGCCATCTGCCTGCTGCTGCTGCTGCCTGTGCGCCACCCCATGCACCCATTGCTGTGCTCTGCCCATGCTGCACTGCCCCCACCCCCACCGTCGCTGCTGCTCCTGCACCTGCCAGCGCTGCCTCTGCCGTGGGCGGGGTGGGGCGGGGAGCAATCGGCCGTGGCTGGCAGGCAGGTGCTGCGCTGTACTGCCGCCCTGCCGGGTGGCTTCGACGTCCCACTTGGTGCTCGCTGAGTGGCCATGATCCCATGCCACCACCACCACCATCGCCAGCACCACCATCATCATCATCACTATCATCATTATTCCCACCATCACCACCATCACCAACATGAGCATCAGCAATCCCACTGCGATCAAAGTACCAGTACCCTTGTCGCACGCATCGCACCCACGTTCCCTCCCCTTCACGCCTCCTCTTCCCGTTCCCTCCACCTCCACCACACACACCTTGCGCCACTGCATGCACCGTGCGCTCGCCCTGCCCGTCCCTGCGTGCACCTTGCTGCACCGCATGCACGGTGCAGTGGTCCTGCCCGGCCCTGCATACAACCCCCCGATACACCTTGCATGCCACGCGTGCCAGCAGCCTGCCATGCCACTGCGGCCCGTCCAGTGCCAGCAGCAATGCACGCACGTCCTGCCACGCCACCCACTGCAGCAGCACCGCGCTGGGGTCCCCATAAACGCCCTTCTCCTGCCCCACCTTTCCCTTCTCCTGCCCCACCTGCCCCTTCTCCTGCCCCACCTGAACCTTCTCCTGCCCCACCTGCCCCTTCTCCTGCCCCACCTGCCCCTTCTCCTGCCCCACCCTTCCCTTCTCCTGCCCCACCTTTCCCTTCTCCTGCCCCACCTGCCCCTTCACCTGCCCCACCTGCCCCTCACCATCATCCCCAGCCTTCACCTCCTTCTCCCCATCGCCACCCTCCCTCTGCTGCACGCCACCTGCCAATCGTGCTCTGATGCGCCCCTCCCACGCGTGGCCCAGCAGCTGGGAGCGCTGCTGCCACAGCAGAGCCAGCAGCTCCTCGCTCACCGCCACGCCCCACGTGGCCTGCACCGCGCCCACCACCACTGCCTGCTCCCGCGCCTCCTCCTCGTCCGCTCGCCGCCCCACCACCCCCTCCGCCACCCACTCACACAGCGCCCGCTGCACTGCCGCCACCACCACTGGTGCTGCTGGCTCACCTGCCGCTGCACCCACAGCCACCGGTGCCGGTGCCACCTCCCCTGCCGCCTGCAACTCGTCCGCCATTTCATCCTCTCTCACCCGCCCTCCCGCTTCACCATCTCGCTCATGTCTTCCCTCATCTCGCTCATGTCTTCCCTCATCTCGCTCATGTCTTCCCTCATCTCGCTCATGTCTTCCCTCATCTCGCTCATGTCTTCCCTCATCTCGCTTTCCTCCACCAGTTCCCTCCTCTCTCACTTCTCCCCTCGCTTCCAGTCTAGCTTCCCCTCTATCTCCCACCTTTGAACCATCTGCTCTACGTGTTTCATCTGCTCCACGTGTTTCATCTGCTCCACGTGTGCCATCTGCTCCACGTGTTTCATCTGTTCCACGTGTTTCATCTGCTCCACGAGTTTCATCTGCTCCACGCGTTTCATCTGCTCCACGAGTTTCATCTGCTCCACGAGTTTCATCTGCTCCACGAGTTTCTCTCCCACCTCGCTCCACCTCTCTCAACTCCTGCACATGTCGCTCCACACGCTGCAGAAAATGCCTTCGCCACGCCTCCTCTTGCCGCTCCCTAGCTGCAGCACTTGTTACAACACCATCAGTAACACCATCACCAGCAGCAGCACCATCACCAGCAGCAGCACCATCACCAGCAGCAGCACCATCACCAGCAGTAGCACCATCACCAGCAGTAGCACCATCACCAGCAGTAGCACCATCACCAGCAGTAGCACCGTCACCAGCAGCAGCACCATCACCAGCAGCAGCACCATCACCAGCAGTAGCACCATCACCAGCAGTAGCACCATCAGCAGGAGCATCAACAGCACTGGCAGCGGCATCGTTCCTCTCCCAACCCTCTCCCTCTCTCCCACCCGCACTCATCCCCTCCTCCGCGCCCTCGTCCTCCCTATGCCCCTCACTCGGCCCCTCACTCGACCCCTGTGTGGGCCACCGGATCACAACGGGCGCCGGGTCCCCCTGGCGGGCAGAAGTGAGCTTCAGGCGTGCCAGCGACCGCAGGGCCTCGAGGCGGCGCAGGAAGCGGCGGCACCAGTAGATCTCGAGCTTGGGGTAGCCCCTGCCGCTGCGGTACAGCAGCGGGGCGATGCGGCGGGCTGCCTGGCGCAGCATGGGGCGCGTGAGAATGAACGGCACCCCGTGCTTCCCCAGCAGGCTCCCACCCACCTGCGCGCTCACGGTCCCACCAAGATGAGGTTGAACGGTGGTGGATGACCCCCTTCCCGGGTCCAGTGGGCCAAAGAGGCGCCTCATATGCTCCTCCATGATCCCACCTGCAGCAGCAGCAGTGCCACCATCCTCACCGTCTCCACTCTGAGCACCACTGGGAGTTGCAGCACCGGCGGCAGCAGCAGAACCAGCAGCAGCACTGCTGGGTTCAGCAGCAGGCGAGCCCCAGCGGAAGCCAGGCGGGAAGGAGAAGCGGGCGCGGTCGAGGAGGATGGTGGCGGACAACTGCTGCACCCACTGCAGCAGCACCACCTCCACTCTCCCCGCCCTCTGCCCCTCCTCCCTCTGCACGCGCTCCCTCACCCGCCCCTCCACCCCCGCCCTCTCTACGCCCCCCGGCAGCACCATCCACCTGCAGGGGGACGCGGGGAGAATGGGGAGGGGGACGGGTGTGAAAGAGCGGGGGGGAGGAGAAGTAGAGGGAGTGAAGAGATGACTGACGACGGTGCCAAGGCAAAGATGGTGGAGGGCGAGTGAGGGAGCGAGGGTGGTGGAAGGGGGGGCGAGGGAGAGAGGGAGGCACACCTGGAGGTCTGGGCGAGGATGGCGCGCAGGTGAAGGGGGGAGAGCACCAGCCCCCAGGCGTGGGCGATGGCGTGCAGCAGCTGGGCGTGGGGCAGGTGGGGGCGGGCGAGGGCGGCCAGGCAGATGGCTCTGATGCGACTCAGCGTGAGGCCTGGCAGCTGCCGCTCCACCACCACGCCTGCCGCCGCATCCCCACACACCAGGTACACCCGCCCGCCCTCCCCCTCTCCCTCCTCCTGCTCCACCCCCGCCTCCTCCTCAGCCCTCCCGCTTCCACTCTCGCCTCCTCTTCGCCCCCCCCCCCTTCCACCTGCCCCCTCTCCCCCACCAGTGCTGCCCCGGAAGGCGGGTGGCAGGCGGTGGAAGTGGAAGTGGGGCAGCACAACGCTCTCGCTGCTCACCTCCCTCTGCAGCGCCTGCAGCTCGGGGCTGTCCATGGTGGGCAGGGGGGGCACGGAGCGCCATGCATCATCGTGCCAAGGAGATGGGGACTGCTCGGTGCCACCCACTGCACCCTCTTCTCTCCCACCGCCACCATCCCCTGTTCCCTCCCCTCTCCCACCGCCACCATCCCCTGTTCCCTCCCCTCTCCCACCGCCACCATCCCCTGCTCGCCCCAGGTCTGCCTCCCCTTGCCTCTCCAACGCCTCTCCCTGCGACACAGCACGGCCCACAGGCTCCTCACGTCCCTCTGCTGGCGCTGCTGGCGCGGATGGCGCTGCTGGCGCTGATGACTCGCCACGCTGCACGTGGTCCTCTCGTGGCGCTGGTACTGGTGATTCTGATGCTGGCAGTGGCGGCAGCAGGTGGGCGTCCAGAAGGGCCTCCTCCAGCACGTGGGAGGGCAGCATGGCGCCCTCCTGGCGAGCCAGGCGCATGAGCAGAGCGCGTGCATGGCGGTACGGGTTCTCCACCCCCGCCAGCAGCCCCATCCGCCTGTCCCTCTCCCACCCCGTGCTCCTGCTCGCGCTCGCCCCACCAGCAGCAGTAGCACCACCAGCAGCCCCAGCTGCACCAGCAGTAGCAGCAGCATCACAACCATCAAACCCCGCCCAGTCCTCCTCATACTCCTCCTCAAAGTTCTCCCCCTCCGCATCCTCATCATCACTCGCTGTTCCCATGCGCCTCACTTTCGTCCTCAGCCTCCTCCTGCCTCTCCGCCACCACTCCACTTCACTCCCACTTCTTCCTTCCGCCCCTCCGCCCTTCCCCTTCTCCACTCCTGTCCTCTCCCCATCGCCCCCCTCCCCGGCGCACCGGCGTGCCTCAGCCAGGCGAAGCAGCAGCAGCCCGTACCGCCGCACGAACCTGCTCGCCCATGCCTCAGTGCACCGCCCCTCCTCCACGCCGCACCCCCGTGCCAGCTCCCTCGCCTTCCCCACCAGCTGCGCGCGGCTCACAGCGCGCCCCGCGCCCTCCTCCTCCGCCACCACCCACAGCGCCACTGCCTCCTCCAGCGCGCTCTCCCCCGCGTCCGCCGCGCCGGGCGCGCTCCCCTCCCCCGCGTCCGCGCGCACCCAGCGGCGGCTCTCCTGGACGATGTGGCGGACGTACTTGGGGATGAGCCACAGCCCGTAGCGCGCGTGCACGGCGGCCGTCACGATCCGCGGGCTCAGGAACGGCCGCACGCACGCCAGCATCGCCACCTCGTACCGCACGCGCGCCGCCAGCGCGCTCGCAGCCGCGTTGGCCGCGCCCGGCGCCGCGGCCGACCCGCCGTTGGGCGTGCTGCTGGAGGGCACGGCCGCGGCGGCGCTGCCCCGCGCCCACGACGGTGCGCCCGCAGGTACCTGCTCCTCGTCGGCCTCTCCGCCCTCATCGCCCCCGCCGCTTGTGCCCGCACTCAGCTCGCCTGCCGCAGCGCCGCCTAAGCCGCCTTCGCCAGCACTAGCGGAGTCCGGCGCCTCTCCGTTACCGCGTGCGACACGGTCGTCCTGTTTCTCCCCCTGCGTGTCGCGCGTTTCCGCCTCGTCCCTCCCCCGCGTTCCCCCTTCGTCCCCCGAGCGCGTCCCCACCTCCTCGCCGCACTCGTCGAGACCCGCGTCGCGCAGCACTTCGCAGCACCACCAGCGCTCGAACTCGAACAGAGGAGGCACGCCGAACCGCTCTGCGACGCGCCGCGCGTGTTTCTGCAGGTTATGCACGATGCTCGACCTCTGGACCTTTGTCTTCCCCCGCGCCGCCCACCACGCTTCGAGACGGAGCCGCCTCTCGCGCGTCCAACGCGCCAACTCCGCCTCAAGCTCCGCGTTCTTATAACGAACGAACTTATTCTTCCCTACGCTGCTTTCGACGGTGGCCTTTCGATAGAGTCGATCGATGTCGCTGCTGCCGAGGCGCGTGCCGTACTGCGCGTTGACGGCCGTCGCGATGTGCTCGTTCGCGAGCTCGGGATGCGCGCGTCGCACGGCGACGATTTCGCGCAGCACCAACGGGCTCACGGCCGCCGCGCGGGTTTTGCCCCGCTGGGCATCGGGCAGAAGCTCCATCGCGGGATCCGCTGCCTGCCTTGGCTCGGCTATTCGTTGCTAAGGGGAGTACTTCATTTTGTCGTCAGACACACGACACCTGTCATGGGTTGATTGCACCGCTCGGCGTTGAACGCCTATCCATTGAATCAACATACGGCATTTGCAACATGCACTAGGGGGAGTGGCTGCCTGCGCAAACGGGTATTTGCAATTTATGGTTTCAGGAGGAAAATGGAAGGTTCAGCAGTGGGGTCCTCTGTGCTTGGATCCTTTTCAACCTGGCTTTGCTGCAATGCTGTTGTTCACCCCCTGGCAGGCTTGAACAGGTCCCACGGGTTGGCCCAAAGAAACCTGCACTATTGTTTCAGACAGATCATATTTAGTCGGGTAGTCTTAATTTCAACACCGGGGTCACAAGTTTAGCAAGACTGCTTCAACCAACGAACCTTTGTTGGGTGTAACCCTGTTGACAACGTGGGGCACTGGAAGACGGTACAAGCATCTCCGCAAAAAAACACCACCGAAATTACTGTAGCTACAAGGTCGTCCGCACCTTCAAGTGTCGCACAGATAACTGGTAGGAAACCTGAAAGCTGGGGGTATTTAACAGTCTTTTAGGGCGTGTCCAGCTCGTACGTTTTCAGTTCATTTTGTGCGGTTGACCGCTTTGCGTCACGGTGAACAAAGGTGAAAATAGATAATCGCTTTGCACCTTTTGATATTGTTTTTGCATCACGGTAGATGAACTGTATATGGACCGAAAACGTACGAGCTGGACACGCCCTCAGTGTGGGTCACCACTGTAAATGACTATCGACGAGCATCAGAGCCTCCGCTTTTGTAGGTCATCAACTTACCATATCCAGCCAATGCGAATGCCCACATTAGGCATAGGTTCGACACAGTGGACCACGTCTGCGCAACTATTTATCAGAAGCGCGCATTTTGTCCTTCGATTGGCTTAGGTCACGCCAACGAAGGCGTACTAGTAGCGTGGGCAAGGCGTCAGCTTTGGCGCGAGGAAAATCGTGGAGTAACTCCCAGCCCTGGGTGGAGCCAGAGAGTCGCCTAACGTAAGACGCTGGTGTGGTCGTATCTCGAAATTAGAATGGAGGAACGACCAGCAGCCCGATTCGACCAAAGACTACGCAATGTCGTTCAACTCGCATGCAGGGCGTCAGGCGAACATCTCCCACCGTCCTAGCGACGAGGAAGGGGAGGGCTAGCGAGGGGGAAGGAGAGTGCTAGCATGGGGCAAGGGGCACGCTAGCGTGGGGGAAGGGGAGTGGTAGCGGGGGGGAAGGGGAGTGTTAGCGAGGGGGAAGTGGATGTCTTCCGTGGGGCCAGGGGAGCGATAGTGCTCCTGTGAGGGAACGGTAGTGCTCCTGTGGGGCAATTCTGTGCGACCGTGGGGGAAAGTGGAGTGTGATCGTGGGGGAAAGGGGAGTGATACCGTGGGGGAAAGGGGGGTGGTACTTGGGGGAACAAGGGAATGCGACCGTGGGGATATGGTGAGTGCGACCGTGGGGAAATGGGAGTGATACCGTGGGGGAAAGAGGGTGGTACTGGGGGGATCAAGGGAGTGCGACCGTGGGGAAATGGGGAGTGCGACGGTGGGGAGATGGTGCGGGCGACCGTGGGGAAAGGGGAGTGGTACTTGGGGGAACAGGGCCTTGATACCGTGTGGGAAAGGGGAGTGGCACCGTCGTCACCGACCCTAAACGGTCGTGGACGAATGGATGCCGATCTTCTTGTTATTTCACGAGGCGATAGTCGCTCGCGGCGCCTTGATTGTATGGCGTCGCGCGGTGCAAACCTTCCTATGGATCATTGTTGATCCGGGGGGGGGAGTGACTCCATGCCTCGGGTTCCACGGCACCCCGCATGTAATCGGCATCACTTGACCTCACTGACGTTGTGGACTTCCTTTCTAAATCTGTGATGGGATTTTCACGAGCGACTGACTATAATCACGAGCGACTGACTATACTCACGAGCAACTGACTATAATCACGGTTTCTTAGCCAAACGTTCTAGGGTGTGGTGTGGATGACGCTGTGCTTTCTGCTTCTGCTTGATGGGAACAAAGAATGCCCTCGGCGGCAGGCCAGCACTGATCGATCGGTCGCAGAGTGTTCCGTACGCCATCTCGTGAGATGGGTTTGATTGTCGTATGAAATCGTGGTAACATTGGCGAGTCCAAACCCATGCAGCGAAACTTGTGTGAGCATTTCAGTGTTCAGCATCCTCGCTAGCCAATCTCCTTCCACACCTTTGTACCCTGGAAAGCTCTCATATCCAAAGAAACTCACCTCCCCGACCTCACACATTTCAGGATGTCATGGCAGCCGTAATGCCCCGCTAGCCTCAGTGCCTGCGCTTCTCCATCTCCTCTCGCCCTCACCACCTCCTTCATCTTCCCTTCCATCCGACATTCGCCTTCATTCCCCTCCCGCTCTTCCCCTCCTCCCGCTCACCCCCCTCCGCGCCGTGCATGAGGGGGCAGCAGTGGCGCCATGCGAGGGAGAGCGAGGGCGCAGGGCGAGGGGCAGCAGCGGGGCGGAGAGGACGGGCTGCTTACCGTCATGCAGCCGTCTGGCTCCGTGCAGGTGGGCTCCATGCAGGTGGGCTCCGTGCAGGTGGGCTCCGTGCAGGTGGCATGCGGTGGGATGGGGTGGAATGGGACCCATGCAAGTGGGCTGGCTGGGCTGGGTGCATGCGTGCGAGTGAGCTGGGGGGGGTCGTGAGGCGAGTCGAGGCGGTGCTGCCTGCGCCCACCTGTGCTGCCTGCGCCCACCTGTGCTGCCTGCGCCCACCTGTGCTGCCTGCGCCCACCTGTGCTGCCTGCGCCCACCTGTGCTGCCTGCGCCCACCTGTGCTGCCTGCGCCCACCTGTGCTGCCTGCGCCCACCTGTGCTGCCTGCGCCCACCTGTGCTGCCTGCGCCCACCTGTGCTGCCTGCGCCCACCTGTGCTGCCTGCGCCCACCTGTGCTGCCTGCGCCCACCTGTGCTGCCGGCGCCCACCTGTGCTGACCTGCGCTGCGCCTACCAGGTATGAAAGCCAAAGGTATAGCAATATACTGAAACGGTGCTTTCTCGTCCTCTTGCTCTCTCCAACCCCTTTCCCCACTCCCACCCCTCTCTCTCCCAACCCTCTCTCTCCCACCCCTCTCTCTCCCACCCCTCTCTCTCCCACCCCTCTCTCTCCCACCCCTCTCTCTCCCACCCGTCTCTCTCCCACCCCTCTCTCTCCCACCCCTCTCTCTCTCACCCCCTCTCCCACCCCTCTTGCTCCCACCCCTTTCTCTCTCACCCCTCTTGCTCCCACCCCTTTCTCTCTCACCCCTCTCTCTCCCACCCCTCTCTCTCCCACCCCTCTCTCTCCCACCCCTCTCTCTCCCAACCCTCTCTCTCCCACCCCTCTCTCTCCCACCCCTCTCTCTCCCACCCCTCTCTCTCCCACCCCTCTCTCTCCCACCCCTCTCTCTCCCACCCCTCTCTCTCCCACCCCTCTCTCTCCCACCCCTCTCTCTCTCACCCCTCTCTCTCCCACCCCTCTCTCTCCCACCCCTCTCTCTCCCACCCCTCTCTCTCCCAACCCTCTCTCTCCCACCCCTCTCTCTCCCACCCCTCTCTCTCCCAACCCTCTCTCTCCCACCCCTCTCTCTCCCACCCCTCTCTCTCCCACCCCTCTCTCTCCCACCCCTCTCTCTCCCACCCCTCTCTCTCCCACCCCTCTCTCTCCCACCCCTCTCTCTCCCACCCCTCTCTCGCCCCTCTCTCTCCCACCCCTCTCGCTCCCACCCCTCGCCTGCCATCCAATCGCATCGCAGGTGGTGGATGTCGACCTTCCCACCGCTGCTGCTGCTGCTGCTGCTCGCATCAACACCAGGTGCTGCCCCCCCACCCACTACCCCGCTGCTCCACTGCCCGTGTCATTCCAGCCTCTCTTACCCGCCCCTACTACCTCGCTACCGCACTCTTAGTCCGTGCGAATCTACTGTCCCTGCGAATCTACTGTCCCTGCGAATCTACTGTCCCTGCGAATCTACTGTCCCTGCGAATCTACTGTCCCTGCGAATCTACTGTCCCTGCGAATCTACTGTCCCTGCGAATCCACTGTCCCTGCGAATCTACTGTCCCTGCAAATCCACTGTCCCTGCGAATCCACTGTCCCTGCGAATCCACTGTCCCTGCGAATCCACTGTCCCTGCGAATCTACTGTCCCTGCGAATCTACTGTCCCTGCGAATCTACTGTCCCTGCGAATCTACTGTCCCTGCGAATCTACTGTCCCTGCGAATCTACTGTCCCTGCGAATCTACTGTCCCTGCGAATCTACTGTCCCTGCGAATCTACTGTCCCTGCGAATCTACTGTCCCTGCGAATCTACTGTCCCTGCGAATCTACTGTCCCTGCGAATCTACTGTCCCTGCGAATCTACTGTCCCTGCGAATCTACTGTCCCTGCGAATCTACTGTCCCTGCGAATCTACTGTCCCTGCGAATCTACTGTCCCTGCGAATCTACTGTCCCTGCGAATCTACTGTCCCTGCGAATCTACTGTCCCTGCGAATCTACTGTCCCTGCGAATCTACTGTCCCTGCGAATCTACTGTCCCTGCGAATCTACTGTCCCTGCGAATCTACTGTCCCTGTGCATCTACTGTCCCTGCGAATCTACTGTCCCTGCGAATCTACTGTCCCTGCGAATCTACTGTCCCTGCGAATCTACTGTCCCTGCGAATCTACTGTCCCTGCGAATCTACTGTCCCTGCGAATCCACTGTCCCTGCGAATCCACTGTCCCTGCGAATCCACTGTCCCTGCGAATCTACTGTCCCTGCGAATCTACTGTCCCTGCGAATCTACTGTCCCTGCGAATCTACTGTCCCTGCGAATCTACTGTCCCTGCGAATCTACTGTCCCTGCGAATCTACTGTCCCTGCGAATCTACTGTCCCTGCGAATCTACTGTCCCTGCGAATCTACTGTCCCTGCGAATCTACTGTCCCTGCGAATCTACTGTCCCTGCGAATCTACTGTCCCTGCGAATCCACTGTCCCTGCGAATCTACTGTCCCTGTGAATCTACTGTCCCTGCGAATCTACTGTCCCTGCGAATCTACTGTCCCTGCGAATCTACTGTCCCTGCGAATCTACTGTCCCTGCGAATCTACTGTCCCTGCGAATCTACTGTCCCTGCGAATCTACTGTCCCTGCGAATCTACTGTCCCTGTGAATCTACTGTCCCTGCGAATCTACTGTCCCTGCGAATCTACTGTCCCTGCGAATCTACTGTCCCTGCGAATCTACTGTCCCTGCTGAATCTACTGTCCCTGCGAATCTACTGTCCCTGCGAATCTACTGTCCCTGCGAATCTACTGTCCCTGCGAATCTACTGTCCCTGCGAATCTACTGTCCCTGCGAATCTACTGTCCCTGCGAATCTACTGTCCCTGCGAATCTACTGTCCCTGCGAATCTACTGTCCCTGCGAATCTACTGTCCCTGCGAATCTACTGTCCCTGCGAATCTACTGTCCCTGCGAATCTACTGTCCCTGCGAATCTACTGTCCCTGCGAATCTACTGTCCCTGCGAATCTACTGTCCCTGCGAATCTACTGTCCCTGCGAATCTACTGTCCCTGCGAATCTACTGTCCCTGCGAATCTACTGTCCCTGCGAATCTACTGTCCCTGCGAATCTACTGTCCCTGCGAATCTACTGTCCCTGGCGAATCTACTGTCCCTGCGAATCTACTGTCCCTGCGAATCTACTGTCCCTGCGAATCTACTGTCCCTGCGAATCCACTGTCCCTGCGAATCTACTGTCCCTGCGAATCTACTGTCCCTGCGAATCTACTGTCCCTGCGAATCTACTGTCCCTGCGAATCTACTGTCCCTGCGAATCTACTGTCCCTGTGAATCTACTGTCCCTGCGAATCTACTGTCCCTGCGAATCTACTGTCCCTGCGAATCTACTGTCCCTGCGAATCCACTGTCCCTGCGAATCTACTGTCCCTGCGAATCTACTGTCCCTGCGAATCTACTGTCCCTGCGAATCTACTGTCCCTGCGAATCTACTGTCCCTGCGAATCTACTGTCCCTGCGAATCTACTGTCCCTGCGAATCTACTGTCCCTGCGAATCTACTGTCCCTGCGAATCTACTGTCCCTGCAAATCCACTGTCCCTGCGAATCCACTGTCCCTGCGAATCCACTGTCCCTGCGAATCCACTGTCCCTGCGAATCTACTGTCCCTGCGAATCTACTGTCCCTGCGAATCTACTGTCCCTGCGAATCTACTGTCCCTAGCGAATCTACTGTCCCTGCGAATCTACTGTCCCTGCGAATCTACTGTCCCTGCGAATCTACTGTCCCTGCGAATCTACTGTCCCTGCGAATCTACTGTCCCTGCGAATCTACTGTCCCTGCGAATCTACTGTCCCTGCGAATCTACTGTCCCTGCGAATCTACTGTCCCTGCGAATCTACTGTCCCTGCGAATCTACTGTCCCTGCGAATCTACTGTCCCTGCGAATCTACTGTCCCTGCGAATCTACTGTCCCTGCGAATCTACTGTCCCTGCGAATCTACTGTCCCTGCGAATCTACTGTCCCTGCGAATCTACTGTCCCTGCGAATCTACTGTCCCTGCGAATCTACTGTCCCTGCGAATCTACTGTCCCTGTGCATCTACTGTCCCTGCGAATCTACTGTCCCTGCGAATCTACTGTCCCTGCGAATCTACTGTCCCTGCGAATCTACTGTCCCTGCGAATCTACTGTCCCTGCGAATCTACTGTCCCTGCGAATCCACTGTCCCTGCGAATCCACTGTCCCTGCGAATCCACTGTCCCTGCGAATCTACTGTCCCTGCGAATCTACTGTCCCTGCGAATCTACTGTCCCTGCGAATCTACTGTCCCTGCGAATCTACTGTCCCTGCGAATCTACTGTCCCTGCGAATCTACTGTCCCTGCGAATCTACTGTCCCTGCGAATCTACTGTCCCTGCGAATCTACTGTCCCTGCGAATCTACTGTCCCTGCGAATCTACTGTCCCTGCGAATCTACTGTCCCTGCGAATCTACTGTCCCTGCGAATCTACTGTCCCTGTGAATCTACTGTCCCTGCGAATCTACTGTCCCTGCGAATCTACTGTCCCTGCGAATCTACTGTCCCTGCGAATCTACTGTCCCTGCGAATCTACTGTCCCTGCGAATCTACTGTCCCTGCGAATCTACTGTCCCTGCGAATCTACTGTCCCTGCGAATCTACTGTCCCTGCGAATCTACTGTCCCTGCGAATCTACTGTCCCTGCGAATCTACTGTCCCTGCGAATCTACTGTCCCTGCGAATCTACTGTCCCTGCGAATCTACTGTCCCTGCGAATCTACTGTCCCTGCGAATCTACTGTCCCTGCGAATCTACTGTCCCTGCGAATCTACTGTCCCTGCGAATCTACTGTCCCTGCGAATCTACTGTCCCTGCGAATCTACTGTCCCTGCGAATCTACTGTCCCTGCGAATCTACTGTCCCTGCGAATCTACTGTCCCTGCGAATCTACTGTCCCTGCGAATCTACTGTCCCTGCGAATCTACTGTCCCTGCGAATCTACTGTCCCTGTGAATCTACTGTCCCTGCGAATCTACTGTCCCTGCGAATCTACTGTCCCTGCGAATCTACTGTCCCTGCGAATCTACTGTCCCTGCGAATCTACTGTCCCTGCGAATCTACTGTCCCTGCGAATCTACTGTCCCTGCGAATCTACTGTCCCTGCGAATCTACTGTCCCTGCGAATCTACTGTCCCTGCGAATCTACTGTCCCTGCGAATCTACTGTCCCTGCGAATCTACTGTCCCTGCGAATCTACTGTCCCTGCGAATCTACTGTCCCTGCGAATCTACTGTCCCTGTGAATCTACTGTCCCTGCGAATCTACTGTCCCTGCGAATCTACTGTCCCTGCGAATCTACTGTCCCTGCGAATCTACTGTCCCTGCGAATCTACTGTCCCTGCGAATCTACTGTCCCTGTGAATCTACTGTCCCTGCGAATCTACTGTCCCTGCGAATCTACTGTCCCTGCGAATCTACTGTCCCTGCGAATCTACTGCCCCTGCGAATCTACTGTCCCTGCGAATCTACTGTCCCTGCGAATCTACTGTCCCTGCGAATCAACTGTCCCTGCGAATCTACTGTCCCTGCGAATCCACTGTCCCTGCGAATCTACTGTCCCTGCGAATCTACTGTCCCTGCGAATCTACTGTCCCTGCGAATCTTCTGTCGAACCAACGCTTGTGTCGTTCTTACCTGAACCGTGCCTGCATTCCACTTTCCTGTCACCATCGCTTAGCACTAAACCCGAAACCCTGAACAGTGCTCTGCTCATCAGCTTCCCCTCACATGCCCTTCGCATGCTCCTCCCATCACATCACATGCTCCTCCCATCACATCACATGCTCCTCCCTTCACATCACATGCTCCTCCCATCACATCACATGCTCCTCCCTTCACATCACATGCTCCTCCCTTCACATCACATGCTCCTCCCTTCACATCACATGCTCCTCCCATCACATCACATGCTCCTCCCATCACATCACATGCCTCTCACATGCCTCTCACCATGGTCCCCTCGTCCCCATCATCTTCCATCATCCATGTCATCCTCGTCCCCTCCCTCCCCCTGCCACATTCCCCCTTCCTCCTCCCTCTCCCTTGCAGGCCCGCCGCAGCCCCTACCGCCAGTCCATCAGCCTCATCCGCTGCAGCTCCACCCTTAGCAGCAGCCACACCAGCACCACCAGCAGCAGCAGGTGCAGCGGCGGCATCGTCGCCGGTGCGGCTGGACTTCCTGTCGCGCGCGCGCAGCGTGTTCATGAGCGCCGTGCTCTCCGACCCCGACGCCCACGCCCTGCGCCAGGAAGGTGAGACTGAGGAAGGTGAGATTGAGGAAGGTGAGACTGAGGAAGGTGAGATTGAGGAAGGTGAGATTGAGGAAGGTCGGAGATGTGGAGGAGGGATGGGATGGGATGGGATGGGCATGATGAGCAGAAGGCGTCATGGTTGGTGAGAGGAATGTCACCTGTGGACGTGACATGGCATGGCATGGCATGGCATGGCATGGCATGGCACGGCATGGCATGGCATGGCACGGCACGGCAGTGCATGGCACGGCACGGCACGGCATGGCATGGCACGGCATGGCATGGCACGGCACGGCATGGCATGGCATGGCACATGGTGTCGGAGCTGTTGGAGTCTTGATGCTGTGCATCTCATTCACGCTGCTACACCCATATTATCTTCCAAACTACTAAAACCCCCTTCGTAGCATTCCTCCTAAGCCCTGCTCCTCCCCTCCGCTCCCCTTTCGTCCCCTCTCCTCCCTGCACGTAAAGATGGTGAAGCGGCATCTGCACTATCCAACTCATCATCTGCACATCCCACTTCCTTTCCTGCTCCTCGCCTCCCCTTTCCCCACGTCTCCCCCAACCAGCCAGCCGCGTGCTGGGGGGGGGCGACATCAAGATAGTGAAGCGGCGCGACCTGGCGGAGGCGGGGGGGCGGGTGGGCGAGGAGAAGCAGTTCTGCGCGCTCAAGCACAGCGAGTGGCTGCGCTGCCTCCGAGAGGAGCTCATGCTGCTGCGGGTGAGCTGAGCTGGGGGGATGCCATGGCATGGCGCCACCTCATGCTGCACATGCCACTGCACCACTGCATCACTGCATCCATTCTCCTCAACATCCTCGCCCTGACTCCCCACCCCCCATTCCCTTTCTCCCCCTGTCCACACCCGTACAGCCTCTCTGCCCCTCATCCTCCAATTCCCATGTCCACTCGCATCATCCCCTGCGCCTCTCCCCCTTCCCTCCGCCCCCCCCCCCCCCCCCCAGATCGGGCGACAGAACAGCATGCTGGACCACACGCCCTCCCACCGCCCCTCTTGCTGCAACTCCCATGTCCACCCCGCCCCACCCCCTCTCCCCCTCCCCTCTCCTCTCCCCCCCCCCTCCATCAGATCGAGCGACAGAACAGCATCCTGGACTACACGCCCTCCCACCGCCCCTCCCCCGCGTCCCCCTCCCTGCGCCTCGCGGACTTCCCTTCCCCTTCCCCTCCGCCGCTCGCCTCCCACTCCTTCCCCGCCCACACCAGCAGCCCCAGCAGCAACGACGCCACTGCCTGGCTGGCAGGGGGCCGGCCGTGGGAGCAGCAGCAGCAAGGGATGGCGGGCGAGGGGGCGATGGGGGCGCGCATGAGGGCAATGGGTGCTGCTGATGGCATGAGGGCAACGGGTGCTGCTGATGGCATGAGGGCAATGGGTGCTGCTGATGGCATGAGGGCAATGGGTGCTGCTGATGGCATGAGGGCAATGGGTGCTGCTGATGGCATGAGGGCAATGGGTGCTGCTGATGGCATGAGGGCCATGGGTGCTGCTGATGGCATGAGGGCCATGGGTGCTGCTGATGGCATGAGGGCAATGGGTGCTGGTGATGGCATCTTCCCTGCGCTGCCTGCCTCTGCCTCCCCGTGGTCACCAGTAGCAGCAGCAGCAGGTGGAGGGGCTGGAGGGGCGGCGAGTTGCAGTCCTGTGCAGCGCAGCATGAGCATGGCGCCCACCAGGGCGCTGCAGCAAGGTACTCACGTGGGTGGGTGGCACACAGCAGGTGGCACACAGCAGGTGGCACACAGCAGGTGGCACACAGCAGGTGGCACACAGCAGGTGGCACACAGCAGGTGGCACACAGCAGGTGGCACACAGCAGGTGGCACACAGCAGGTGGCACACCGCAGGTGCATAAGAGAAGAATTCGCGTGGGTGGCACTGTGCCGCCCTGGAGGGCTGCTGCTGACGTGGCCGCATCCTGCATTCCCCCATGCTCCACCAGTGCTCCTTGTGTCACATACACACATGTAATTCTCCATGCCATCAATGCCACTCCACTGATGCTTCTTCCTCCTTGTTCCAGTCACTTCATCACACCTTTCCCCTCCCTCCCTTTCCTCCCTCCCTTGCCCTCCATCCCTTCCCTTCCCTCCCCTCCCATCCCTCCCTCCCCCCCTTCCCTTCCTTTTCCCCTCCCCCTGTCACCACCCCCCTGTCACCATCCCCCTGCCTGCGCCAACAGCCGATGCAAGGCTAGCCAAGCGCCCTCTGCCCGTGCCTCTCCCCGTGTTCAGCCCGTCCTCGCACCCCTCGCCCCCCGCCCGCCCCACACCCACCACGCCTGCCCTCCTGCGCCTCTCCTCCATGTCCCTCTGCTCCTCCTCTTCCCCCCTCGACCACTTCCTTGCATCCACCTCCGCTGCCGCTGCCGCTGCAACCACCACAAGCAACGGCGGCGGCAGCAGCGGCGGCAGCAGCAGCAACAACAATGTCACCACGAGCAGCAGAGGCGGGGGTGATGGTGATGCCACGTGCTCCGCCACGTGCCCCCGAGAGCCCCCTGCAGGCGGGCAAGCGTGCCCGGTGGTGCAGCAGCACACGCGGCACAGCAGCCTGGCTCTCAGGGGCGGCGATGGCGACTCCCTGCCCGCCCTGCTCGCCCACTGGCCCTCCCACCCCCACCCCCACCGCCACCGCCACCGCCGCAGCACCACCATTGGTGAGGGGGTGAAGGCTGGGGGACGGGTGGGAACGGCAAGGGCGAGGGAGAGGGAAGGAGGGAGGGAGATGGAGATTGAGAGCTCGAGGAAGAGCAACAAGGGGGGAGGAAAAATGAGGAAGATCAACCAGGGGGGAGGAAAAATTAGGAAGATTAACAAGGGTGGAGGAAAAATGTGGAAGATCAACAATGGTGGAGGAAAAATTAGGAAGATCAACAATGGTGGAGGAAAAATTAGGAAGATCAACAAGGGTGAAGGAAAGATTAGGGAAGTAAGGGAGGCTTCCCTTACTTGCGTCACCGTCATCCTTCTCCCCCGTTCCCTCCCCCTCAGGGTCCCTGACCGATTTGGACCATGAAGCGGGCGGCAGCGGGCGGCAAGCAGCGATGGTGGCGGCAGAGGCGGCAGCAACGGGTGGGCAGCGCATGGTGCGCATGTGGGAGCGCTTGAAACGCATCATGCCGCCGCCCAGAGGTTCCGACCTTGAGGTGTGTCTGATATGCAAGCATTGAACACTTAGCCTGGATTTACTATGCGTTTTTTTTTTTTTTTTTTTTTTTTTTTTTTGAGGTGTTTGCTGGGAGAGAGAGACCATTGGAGGTACCATGTGCTTCATGCATGGCTTGCATCAGCCTCTGCGTCATGCATGGCTTGCATCAGCCTCTGCGTCATGCATGGCTTGCATCAGCCTCTGCGTCATGCATGGCTTGCATCAGCCTCTGCGTCATGCATGGCTTGCATCAGCCTCTGCGTCATGCATGGCTTGCATCAGCCTCTGCGTCATGCATGGCTTGCATCAGCCTCTGCGTCATGCATGGCTTGCATCAGCCTCTGCGTCATGCATGGCTTGCATCAGCCTCTGCCCATTCCAACTCGCTCCTCTCCTCATCGCCGTTGTACTTCCACCCAACACGTTTTCCCTCATCATCTTCTGCTCTTAGCAGGAAGCCTCGCCACGCCTCTCCCTGCTCTCGCCTCGCTGCCCCACCCAGCAGCATCGCAACCACAGCGCCAGTTTCGGGGCGAGCATGGGCATGGGCATGGGCATGGGCATGGGCATGGGCATGGGCATGGGCATGGGCATGGGCATGGGCATGGGAGTGGGCATGAGCGGGGGGGCGAGTGTGATTCAGCTGCCAGCGGGGATGACGCTGGTGGAGGCGCTGCTGGCGGGCCGTGTGCCGCGCAACCAGAGGGGCGCCGCCTGGGTCGCCATCGCCACCGCCCACCCTCATGTCAGTCACTGCCCACCCTCATGTCAGTCACTGCTGCCGCCGCCGCCGCCGCTGCTGCTGCTGCTGCCCCGCCTGCTGCTGGGATGTCAGTGCGCCCACTGGTGCTGCTGCTGCTACCCCGCCTGCTCTGCTCAAGCCTGATCTGCTAGAATCCCCACCTCTGCATTGTCATGCCTCAATGCACCTCAACGCACCTCCTCCATCTCTTCACATGAGCTACCTGCTCTCAATCCATTGCACCATCCTTTTGACTAATTCGTTGTTTCCCCCCTTCTCCTTACCCTCCTTCGCTCCCCTTGCTCTCCCCTCTCCTTACTCCCTTTTCCAACCTCCTCTCCCTCCTCTCCCTCCTCTCCCCTCCACCCTCCCTCCACCCTCCCTCCACATGCCATGCCACCTATCACACACCGCATCCCCCCACCCTCGCCTCTCCTCTCACCACCAGGACGCCCTGGCGGATGGCAGCAGCTACGCCTCTCTGCTCATGCAGCCCTCCGCCTCCGCCAAGTGAGCTTCCCACCCCCACACACGCCAAGTGAGCTCCCCACCCCCACACACGCCAAGTGAGCTCCCCACCCCCACACACGCCAAGTGAGCTCCCCACCCCCACACACACGCTCTCATGGCAGGTCACACAGACGCTCAAGTGGCAGGCCACACAGACGCTCAAGTGGCAGGCCACACAGACGCTCAAGTGGCAGGCCATAGAGACGCTCAAGTGGCAGGCCACACAGACGCTCAAGTGGCAGGCCACACAGACGCTCAAGTGGCAGGCCACACAGACGCTCAAGTGGCAGGCCACACACACGCTCAAGTGGCAGGCCACACACACGCTCAAGTGGCAGGCCACACAGACGCTCAAGTGGCAGGCCACACAGACGCTCAAGTGGCAGGCCACACACACAGTTCCCCCTCCACCTTTCTGCTCGCGCTTGTCGTTGCATACCCCATCCCTCCCATTCACTCCATTCCCCCCCATCCCTCTCATTTCCCCCATTACCCCCATCCCACCATTCCCTCCATTACCCCCATTCCCCCCATTCCTCCCTCCCTCCCCCCCCCCCACCGGGCGCAGGGAAATAGAGCGGGACGTGAACCGCACCTTCCCCAACCACCGCCTCTTCCAGGAGGAGAGGGGCGCCGGCCAGCAGTCGCTCTTCAACGTCATCAAGGCCTACTCCGTACCGCACCGCAACCCACTGCACCCCCCACCCTTCCCTGCCCTGCCCTGCCCTGCGGTGCCCTGCATCACCCTTCCCCCCACCCCCCACTGTGCTGCCCTGCTATGTGCTCTCTGCCCTTCCCTGCAATGTGCACCTCTGCTCCGCTGCACCCTTCTGTTTCGTGGTGCCCTGCTTTGTGCCATGGCATTCCATTAATGCCATGCCATTCCATTAATGCCATGCCATTCCATTAATGCCATGCCATTCCATTAATGCCATGCCATTCCATAAATTCCATGCCATTCCATTGATGCCATGCAATTCTATTGATGCCATGCCATGCCTTGCCCACCCTACCTTTCTCTTGCATTCTGGTCCTTGCTCCGTCCCTGCGGTCCCTTCTCGTCTCTCGCCCCGCCCCTGCACGCCGCGTGCCTGCCCATGGCGCGCATCAGGTGTTGGACAAGGAGGTCGGCTACTGCCAGGTAACTTCCCCTTGCCTTGCCCTCTCTCCCTCTTCTCGCCCTCTTTCCCTCCTTTTCCCCTTTCGTATTTTTTGCATTCCAATTAATTTTTCACTCCTACTCACCATCTAGCCCTTTTTTTTCCCCTTCCCTTTTTCCCTTCTTCCCTTCCTTCCCTTCCCTCTCCTTGTTACTTCGCCTCCTTTCCTTTGCCCCTCCTCTCTAGCCCCGCCTCTCCACCCATCCCTTCCAGTCGTGCCCATGTGTCCTCACCACCTGTAGCTTGATTCCTCACAGCTCCGTCGCTTGCTTTTGTAGAGAACCATGTTGATCAGTTGTCACACATGCCTCCACTCCACTGCCTCTTCCCCTCCCCATCCCCCACACCCCACATCTCTCTCTCTTCCTCTCTGCCCCGTTGCCTCTGCCTGCCTCCATCACTCCCCCCCACCACGCCATCATCTCCGCTGCCCATGTGTGCTGCACTGCACGGTGCATCTTGCGTGTATGCGTGGCGCATGGCATGTTGCGTGTGTGCATGGCAAATGGCACGGCGGGCAGGGCATGGGGTTCATAGCGGCGACGCTGCTGATGAGCATGGGGGAGGAGCACGCTTTCACGTGCCTCGTCTTCCTCATGTACCGCTGCGGCCTGCGAGGCGTCTTCCTGCCCGACATGCAGCAGGTGGGTCTTAAAGCCCGACATGCAGCAGGTGGGTCTTAAAGCCCGACATGCAGCAGGTGGGTCTTAAAGCCCGACATGCAGCAGGTGGGTCTTAAAGCCCGACATGCAGCAGGTGCCGTGGGGTGGGGCGTTAAGACATGCAGCAGGTGCCGTGGGATGGGGCGTTAAGACATGCAGCACGGTGTGGCCTTTAAGACATGCAGCAGGTGTGGTGGGGCGTTGAGACATGCAGCAAGTGGGGCATTGTGTGCACAACTCGCATGCTATTGCCATCACATGATGCCTTCTCTGGATCTTGCTTAACATCACATCCCTCCCTCTCCCTCTCCTGTACGCATGTGGGTGTGTGCATATGGGTGTGTGCATGTGGGCGTGTGCATATGGGTGTGTGATATGTGCGTGTGCACGTGTGTACATGTGTGTACTGCGTGATTTTGCATGCCCGTGTGTGTGAATGCCCCTGTGCCCGCCCACTGGCAGCTGCAAGTGCGCATGTATCAGCTCACGCAGCTGCTCATCCACACGCTGCCACGCGTGCATGCCTTCTTCGAACACCTCGACATCAAACCTGTATGACACACCCATGCCATGCCATGCCATGCCATGCCATGCCACGCTATGCCGTGCCGTGCCATGCCATGCCATGCTACCCCATGCCACGCCATGCCATGGACTGCCACCCGACGCCATACCAGTACTTGTGTTGTGCCTCAGCTATTGGATTTAATCACCACGCCGCACAGCACCACTCATTCCTCTCACTTGAGCTTTGAAACGTCAGCCCAAGAACATCACAGCCGTTCGCCGGCATCGCACACGTCAGGTGTCCTCTCCCTATGCACACCATGTCCCATCACGCCCCACACCACCCCACCATGCCCCATACACACCATGCCATGCCATGGCGTGGCGCCACCTTGGTGATGTACGCGGCGGACTGGTTCCTCACCCCATGCACACCATGCCCTATGATTCCCTCCCTACCACGCCCCACCACGCCCCACCATGCCCTGTGCCATGGCACCACGCCGCGCCACCAGGTGATGTATGCGGCAGACTGGTTCCTCACTCTCTTCGCGCGCACCATGCCTCACTACCTCGTCTTCCGCGTCTTCGACATCATCCTCGGTACGCTGACATCATCCTCGGTACGCTGACATCATCCTCGGTCCGCTGACATCATCCTCGGTACGCTGACATCATCCTCAGCACGCTGACATCATCCTCGGTACGCTGACATCATCCTCGGTACACTGACATCATCCTCGGTACGCTGACATCATCCTCGGTACGCTGACATCATCCTCGGTACGCTGACATCATCCTCGGTACACTGACATCATCCTCGGTACGCTAACGTCTTCAGCAGCTGTTGTCATTCTGAACAGTCCCATCAGCATCTGTACCTGATCACGCCTTTTTCCCTCTCATCCCTCATTTCCCATCTCCCATCTCCCCTCTCTCATCTCGCATCACGGCAGCGGAGCAGACCACGGCCATTGTCTTCAAGCTCGCCATCGTTCTCCTGCAGGTATTTGCCCTCCCGCCTCATCTCAACTCCTCCCACCTCCGCCCACCTCCTCCCACCTCTTCCCACCTCTTCCCTTGCCCCACTGCACTACCATCCCTCCCTCCTCCTTTTCCCACCCACTTCCCATCACCCACCTCTCCTCTCCTCCTACAAACCGCCTCCTCGCATCCCTATTTCCCATTCCCCTCCACCGTCCCCTCTCCCCATTCCCTCCTCCCATCCCCTCTCCCCGTTCCCCTTCCCATTTCCTTCCCCCCAACACCCCTCCCCACCGGTACCCCACCGGTACCCCACCGGTACCCTCCCCACACCAGGTGTGCAGACGGTGGCTACAGCAGTGCCCAGAGATGGAGTATGCCATGTGCCTGCTGCGCACACAAATCCCCTCATCTGTACTTCCCATTCTCCTCTCCCCGTCCCTTTCCCTGCCCTTCCTCCCCGTTTCCTTCCCTGGTCCCATCCCCCCAACCCCTCCCTGTCCTCTCCCCTCTTCGACTTCCCCCGTCCCCACACCAGGTGTGCAGGCGGCAGCTGCAGCAGTGCCCGGAGATGGAGTACGCCATGTGCCTGCTGCGCACCGAGCTGCCCGCGCAGCTTAAGGTGACCTCGCCTCGCTTTACTGTCATAATTGTGAAGAATAACCAATGGTTTCATTAGAGTGGATGGGGTATACATTGTTGGAAGAGGAAAGGGGACGGGCGAGGGGTTGGTTGGGTTTTTAGCCAACATTATTGGCCCCCACCAATACGTCGCGCTGGAGAATTATTGGGTGGTCTCAATAATGTTGGTCTCTAGGCCAAGATTTTGGGGGGGTCCAATAATCTCCCAACCCAACATTAAGGGTCAGATAATTGGACCAAGGTTCAGTTCCCAACTTCCAACTAGGGTTAGCCCTATTTGTGCACCCAAACCAAGTTTGGGTGTCTATTTCTACCAAAGTTTATAGAACAGATGTAGGATAGAAGGAGAAGTATAATCCAAAGTTCACCCCCTGGTACTGCACAGTCCCTCACCGTACTTCACCGCACCCCATATTCCCTCACGGTGACTCACGGTCCTTCCAGCCTCACGCTTCACACATGCAAGGTGCTTCAGTTTCGTGTTTACAACCACATACACCCATTCTACCATCATCCACCCATTCTACCATCATCCACCCATTCTACCATCATCCACCCATTCTACCATCATACACTGTCTCTCACTCTTCTAAGGTCTTAACAGCCTGCCTCCCAGTCTGCGTGCGATTTAGCCTTGCCTGCACTCATGCCTCCTGTTTGTGTGTGTGTGCTTGTGCATGCGTGTGTGTGTGTGTGTGTGTGTGTGTGTGCCCATGTGCATGTTTGTGTATGTATATGTGTGTGTTTGTATGTGCATATGCATGTGCACTTGCATGCGTGTGTGTGTGTGTGTGTGTGTGTGTGTGTGTGTGTGTGTGTGTGTGTGTGTGTGTGTGTGTGTGTGTGTGTGTGTGTGTGTGTGCGTGTGTGCGTGTGTATGCTTGTGTCTCATCTCATGATCTCACGTGCATGCATGCATGCACGGGGCCATGCCATGCCATGCCATGCAATGCCAGGAGGTGAGCGAGGAGGAGATGGAGGAGCTGGTGTGCAAGGCCATGCGGGTGGACTTGCCCTTTGAGAGCCTGCTGCGACTCGAAGCAGGTCCCTGCTGCCGCCCACTCCCCACATCGTGCTGCCGCCCACTCTCCACATTGTGCCGCCACTGAACACGCATCCAACCAGACGCAGTCCCTTCCTCTCCATCTGCATCCTTCCTCTCCATCTGCATCCTTCCTCTCCATCTGCATCCTTCCTCTCCATCTGCATCCTTCCTCTCCATCTGCATCCTTCCTCTCCATCTGCATCCTTCCTCTCCATCTGCATCCTTCCTCTCCATCTGCATCCTTTCTCTCCATCTGCATCCTTCCTCTCCATCTGCATCCTTCCTCTCCATCTGCATCCTTCCTCTCCACCTGCATCCTTCCTCTCCATCTGCATCCTTCCTCTCCATCTGCATCCTTCCTCTCCACCTGCATCCTTCCTCTCCATCTGCATCCTTCCTCTCCATCTGCATCCTTTCTCTCCATCTGCATCCTTCCTCTCCACCTGCATCCACCTCTCTTGGGTCTCCCTATCCCCGTTCACGCCTCAGCCTGATTTACCACTAACTCTGCCTGTATTACCACTGCCTCCACTCTTCCCCTCCCCCCCAATCCTCCTCCTTTTCCGTTCTCTCCTTCCCTTAAACGCTCTCTCACTCCTCATTCTTTCCCCTGCCTCTCCCCGCCCCGTCCCTCGTGGCCGTGTCACCCAGAGTACGATCTGCTGGCGGGGGAGGCAGCAGCGGCGGCGAGGGACGTGCAGGCAGCGGCAGAGGCGAGTGAGGCGGCGGCCCTCTCGTGGGGCGCCAACCGGCAGCAGCTGGAGGCCCGACTCTGCCATGCCACGCTCGTGCGTGCTGTGCTGCCAGGAGAGGGGGGAAAGGGAGGGGAGGGGGGAGGGAGGTTGGGGGAGACGGAGAGTGCTATTGCAGTGTTATTACTTACTACAGATTATGCAAGTGCTCGCGTGCTCTCCTCCTGTGCTCGTGGTGTTTTCATCCATCTCATTCACCCATGCATACCCTTCCCTTCCCCGCGCCACTCTCCTCCCTACCCCTAAACTCTCCTCACCACTGCAGGCACTGAAGCAGGGCGAGCGCCTGGCAGCGCACATCACAGCCGCCCTCGCCCTTTCTGATTCTGCCCGTCACTCTTCCTCCTACCCTTCCCCGTGCTCACCACCACCGCCTGCCGATACGAAGCCCCACACTTGTTCATCCACCGTAAGCAGCCACGCGTCTGCCTCTCATGCGTCTGCCTGTGCTTTGCATGCTGCCCTGCACATGGGTAATGGTGTGGGCGGACCCCCAGAGAGCAGTCATGAGCCCCAGGTCACAAGGGACAGCAGTGGAGGGGGAATGCGGAGTGGCCGGGCTGGAGGGGGCGGCTGTTTGCTGGTGAATGGCAGTGGGGTGGGGGGGCTTGAAGGTTCACGACCTGAGTGCTTGAATGGTGCTTCGTGCACCGAGGAGGGACGGCGGCCCTTGGAGGGCGGAGAGGGAGAGGAGAGGGTGTGTGAGGGGCAGGGAGTGTGTGAGGAGGAGGGAGTGTGTGAGGAGGAGGGAGCATGTGAGGAGGAGGGAGCATGTGAGGAGGAGGGAGCATGTGAGGAGGAGGGAGCATGTGAGGAGGAGGGAGCATGTGAGGAGAGCCTACCATTGGAGGAGAGAGTGCAGCTGTGGGAGGAGCGGGTGGCAGTGGTGGGAGGAGGGAGCAGCACGGTGGAGGTGCTGAGAGCAGTGAGAGCGGCGCACCACCAGTGGGTGCAGCTGGGGCTGGCGCTGGCACTGGCAGAGCGCGAGGTGGCGTGCCGCCTCGACATGGGCGCGCCGCCGCCGCCCACTGACTCTTCTTTTGAGTGGAGTCAAAAGCGCCTCCTGGACATGGGCGTGCCAGTCAGTGACTCTTCAGCCGCGCTGGGGGCTCTCATGGGAGGAGGGGTGCATGAGCTGGTGGTTGTGGAGGAGGCGGGGGGCTGTGTGGGGGAGAATGGAGCGCATGGGCGTGGCAGCATGCGACAGTACGATGCAGTGAAGAGATTATGAGTCATGGCTGCGCCTCACTGCGATTGCATGACTTCGCCAGCCTTGAGTCTTAGTTGTATTATTACTACACCATTGTAATTCCACAGTAACCATATGGCCCTGGATATCTCTTAGGTTTCAGTTTCTAACACTGATTCAACCGCTTTTGAGCTGTTCTTTTTCCGTACCTCATTTTAATTAATATTAATGCCTCTATACAGTGCAAGAGACATTTTCTGCATGTTCTCAGCAACACTTTGCCTGGCAACTGTGGGTTTACATCCTGATGGCACAGCCAATTATAAGCCAAAGCTGGTTCCTACTGGGCACTCCCTAGCCTCCAAGCAACGGCACACAGTTGCTCGCACCGCCATCAGCCCCAGGCCATCTCACACTCCTCTTGTGTTGCCAGCTTGCTCGTCTTTGCTGCCTGCCCATCCCACTAGGGTTGCCCGTTCTTCACTTGTCCACCTGCCCCTGCATGGTGAACATAATCAGTTGATATTTGGAATGGGAGGGGGCAAATGAGGTGAATGGGAATGGGAGGGGGCAAATGAGGTGAATGGGAATGGGAGGGGGCAAATGAGGTGAATGGGAATGGGAGGGGGCAAATGAGGTGAATGGGAATGGGAGGGGGCAAATGAGGTGAATGGGAATGGGAGGGGGCAAATGAGGTGAATGGGAATGGGAGGGGGCAAATGAGGTGAATGGGAATGGGAGGGGGCAAATGAGGTGAATGGGAATGGGAGGGGGCAAATGAGGTGAATGGGAATGGGAGGGGGCAAATGAGGTGAATGGGAATGGGAGGGGGCAAATGAGGTGAATGGGAATGGGAGGGGGCAAATTGAGGTGAATGGGAATGGGAGGGGGCAAATTGAGGTGAATGGGAATGGGAGGGGGCAAATGAGGTGAATGGGAATGGGAGGGGGCAAATGAGGTGAATGGGAATGGGAGGGGGCAAATGAGGTGAATGGGAATGGGAGGGGGCAAATGAGGTGAATGGGAATGGGAGGGGGCAAATGAGGTGAATGGGAATGGGAGGGGGCAAATGAGGTGAATGGGAATGGGAGGGGGCAAATGAGGTGAATGGGAATGGGAGGGGGCAAATGAGGTGAATGGGAATGGGAGGGGGCAAATGAGGTGAATGGGAATGGGAGGGGGCAAATGAGGTGAATGGGAATGGGAGGGGGCAAATGAGGTGAATGGGAATGGGAGGGGGCAAATGAGGTGAATGGGAATGGGAGGGGGCAAATGAGGTGAATGGGAATGGGAGCGGGCAAATGAGGTGAATGGGAATGGGAGGGGGCAAATTGAGGTGAATGGGAATGGGAGCGGGCAAATGAGGTGAATGGGAATGGGAGGGGGCAAATGAGGTGAATGGGAATGGGAGGGGGCAAATGAGGTGAATGGGAATGGGAGGGGGCAAATGAGGTGAATGGGAATGGGAGGGGGCAAATGAGGTGAATGGGAATGGGAGGGGGCAAATGAGGTGAATGGGAATGGGAGCGGGCAAATGAGGTGAATGGGAATGGGAGGGGGCAAATTGAGGTGAATGGGAATGGGAGCGGGCAAATGAGGTGAATGGGAATGGGAGGGGGCAAATGAGGTGAATGGGAATGGGAGGGGGCAAATGAGGTGAATGGGAATGGGAGGGGGCAAATGAGGTGAATGGGAATGGGAGGGGGCAAATGAGGTGAATGGGAATGGGAGGGGGCAAATGAGGTGAATGGGAATGGGAGGGGGCAAATGAGGTGAATGGGAATGGGAGGGGGCAAATGAGGTGAATGGGAATGGGAGGGGGCAAATGAGGTGAATGGGAATGGGAGGGGGCAAATGAGGTGAATGGGAATGGGAGGGGGCAAATTGAGGTGAATGGGAATGGGAGGGGGCAAATTGAGGTGAATGGGAATGGGAGGGGGCAAATGAGGTGAATGGGAATGGGAGGGGGCAAATGAGGTGAATGGGAATGGGAGGGGGCAAATGAGGTGAATGGGAATGGGAGGGGGCAAATGAGGTGAATGGGAATGGGAGGGGGCAAATGAGGTGAATGGGAATGGGAGGGGGCAAATGAGGTGAATGGGAATGGGAGCGGGCAAATGAGGTGAATGGGAATGGGAGCGGGCAAATGAGGTGAATGGGAATGGGAGGGGGCAAATGAGGTGAATGGGAATGGGAGGGGGCAAATGAGGTGAATGGGAATGGGAGGGGGCAAATGAGGTGAATGGGAATGGGAGGGGGCAAATGAGGTGAATGGGAATGGGAGGGGGCAAATGAGGTGAATGGGAATGGGAGGGGGCAAATGAGGTGAATGGGAATGGGAGGGGGCAAATGAGGTGAATGGGAATGGGAGGGGGCAAATGAGGTGAATGGGAATGGGAGGGGGCAAATGAGGTGAATGGGAATGGGAGGGGGCAAATGAGGTGAATGGGAATGGGAGGGGGCAAATGAGGTGAATGGGAATGGGAGCGGGCAAATGAGGTGAATGGGAATGGGAGGGGGCAAATTGAGGTGAATGGGAATGGGAGCGGGCAAATGAGGTGAATGGGAATGGGAGGGGGCAAATGAGGTGAATGGGAATGGGAGGGGGCAAATGAGGTGAATGGGAATGGGAGGGGGCAAATGAGGTGAATGGGAATGGGAGGGGGCAAATGAGGTGAATGGGAATGGGAGGGGGCAAATGAGGTGAATGGGAATGGGAGCGGGCAAATGAGGTGAATGGGAATGGGAGGGGGCAAATTGAGGTGAATGGGAATGGGAGCGGGCAAATGAGGTGAATGGGAATGGGAGGGGGCAAATGAGGTGAATGGGAATGGGAGGGGGCAAATGAGGTGAATGGGAATGGGAGGGGGCAAATGAGGTGAATGGGAATGGGAGGGGGCAAATGAGGTGAATGGGAATGGGAGGGGGCAAATGAGGTGAATGGGAATGGGAGGGGGCAAATGAGGTGAATGGGAATGGGAGGGGGCAAATGAGGTGAATGGGAATGGGAGGGGGCAAATGAGGTGAATGGGAATGGGAGGGGGCAAATGAGGTGAATGGGAATGGGAGGGGGCAAATTGAGGTGAATGGGAATGGGAGGGGGCAAATTGAGGTGAATGGGAATGGGAGGGGGCAAATGAGGTGAATGGGAATGGGAGGGGGCAAATGAGGTGAATGGGAATGGGAGGGGGCAAATGAGGTGAATGGGAATGGGAGGGGGCAAATGAGGTGAATGGGAATGGGAGGGGGCAAATGAGGTGAATGGGAATGGGAGGGGGCAAATGAGGTGAATGGGAATGGGAGCGGGCAAATGAGGTGAATGGGAATGGGAGCGGGCAAATGAGGTGAATGGGAATCGACTCAAAAGTCACTAGGGGGGGGCGCCCATTCTTCACTTGTCCACCGGCTCCTGCATGGTATGGTGAACCTGATCAGTTCATACTTGCAACATGAAGGGGCAAATGGAAGGCAGAGAAGGCCGCAGCATAAGATGCGAGATGGGAGAGAAGGATGGTAAACCATGCCAGTGCAGAGCCTGCTCCTCTTCCTGTAGCCGGTGGACACTCGCAATTACACGAGAAGCTGAATCTTTCTTGTTGACAACCATGAAACTGGGCATCGGCAGGGCAGGCAGCTCAGTAGTGTGCAGCCCGCTCCTCTTGGTGTGGGCGGCATCACACAGGCAAATATTTTCTGATTCCATACACAAGAAGCTGCCCGGCAGATTCATTCTTGTTGGCAAAATATGCAACAAGGAGCAAGGCACTTACGACGAGCAGCAGCGCGGCAGGTCTTCTTAGCCGGGTTGAACACGAGGCCCTCGGGGCACTGGCACTGCTGCTTGCCCTTCTTCACAACGCACTCAGCAGCTCCACAATCCTTGTGGCACGTGGCTGTTGTGGGCAGCAAAAAGGAACAAACAACACAGGCATGCAGAGACAAGGGGTCAAAAGTAGCACTTTTCAGGCACAGGGAGGCGAAGACAAGAATTGTGTGGAAGTGGTTGCGTGTGCATTGCTCCCTCTTCTTGTGTCACTCCCATGTTGTTGATTGTGTCAGAATGAGACGAACACATGATAGCGCACTTTGTGACACACTTCACGTTCCACTTCGGGCAGCGATAGCTGATTCTAGCTTAGGGGCTCAACCCTAGTGACCGCACGAGAGCACAGCTCACCAGAAAGATTCAGCCAGTCAGCCGATACCACGTTTGACTCATTCGCATACCATGCGTGCACTCACTTGCTCTTCACCACTCACCGTAGCATTTCTTGTCCTTTTCGCTGTAGGTTTTACCGACGGGGCAGATGCACTCGGCAGGGCTGTTGGGAACAGGAGCCATGTGCTTGCAAACAGCATCCGGCCCGCACTTCTTCTTGGCACACGCGTCTGTAGGGAGGTTTGATACAGGAGGGGAAGAGGTTTGCCAAAATTGTACTCACTCACCCACCCTACGCACTCACCCACACTCACACCCACCCACACTCGCGTACTCTGAGCACGCTGGGCGTGAGAACAAGAGGTGGGAATGAAGAAGGCGAGAGGCGAGAGCCAAGGGTGAGCACGCGGGTGGGAAGCGAGGGAGGAGAAGAAAAGAATGGCGAAAGCTACGAAGGAAGAAAGAAAACGACCAGATTGATAGGCAACAGCTGAGTCTGACTTAGAGAGGCACTTCTGAGTGCGTGAGAGCGAAGCTAACTGATTATACTCAGTCAGTCAGGCGATGCAACACTCATCTGCACTCCCTCTCTTGCCACCACTCACTGTAGCACGTCTTGTCTGTTTCGTTGAAGTTAAGAGTGCCATCGTTGCACAAGCAGTAGGGAGAGCCGTCACGGTTGAAAGTGCACGAGGCTTTGGACCCGCATTTGATGCGCGCGCACGCGTTTGCTGCGCGAAATCACGGACTTTTGTCACGAAAGGCAGCAGGGAAGCAGGGCAAGGGAGGTTAAAACAGAAAGGGTCATTTGCTCAACACCTTTCAGTTCAAGCACACAGCAACCCAATTGGTACGTGAGAAACAGCGGGAGAGACGCATGAGG